GCGGGGGGGCGGAGGGGGGCGCAGGAGGAGGACGGAAACGAAGCTTAGTTAGGTGACTTGGTCTTTGTGGAGTAGCTTTGATTTTCTTTTTTTTTTTTTTTTTTTTTTGGGGGGGGGGGGGGAGGCTTGGGTCATTCTTGAAGAAATGATGAAACTTTTATTTTAATTTTTTTTTTTTTGGGGGGGGGAAGGGGTCACGTCTGAAGGAATTCTCTTTTTTTTTTCTTTAGGGGGGGGTTTTTTTAAGTGTATTAAAGAAACATGGGGGGGGGGGGGGATCTTTTTGCTTGGTCGGGGCACTTTAAAATCAAACGTTTTAAATGTATATATCTGTTTTCCCTTTTTGTTGGCAGGGGCCGGGGGGGGGGGGGGGCAAGCTGTTCTCAATGGACTCCTGAAACGTCTCATGGATGTTATTCTTAGGAAGGAACATATCACAAACATATTCTTTGGTTCGTGGGACTAACATTGTGTGGCTGACAAATATGCTAACACGAACTGAATAATAACACAATAAACAGGAACACTGGATTTTTTTTGTTTTTTTATGTTAACGTGAAAAAAAAATAAGATCATTTATCTATTTGAAGTGGATTTTAACTATATTCAGAAAGCTTGAGACTTTGAAGAACATGACATCAGACATATCTAACTGACCTAAAAATATTTATATTTGGCCTTTTCTACATGCTATCTAAAGTCTCTAGCTCTTTATGGCACGAAACACGAAAGGAAATAGATTTATGTTTGTGAATTTTGTGTGAATGTATGTTTGAGTTTGTATTTGTGTGTAGATTTGTATTTGTGTATGTGTGTATGTGTATGTACGTGTGTGTGTGTGTGTGTGTGTGTTTGTGTGTGGTGTGTGTGTGTGTGTGTGTGTGTGGTGTGTGTGTGTGTGTGTGTGTGTGTGTGTGTGTGTGTGTGTGTGTGATAATTTGTGTGATAATTTGTGTTTGCGCTTGTGTGTTTTTTTTTCTCTTTTTGTGTGTATGTGCACGAGAAGAATTTAATCTCTGATAGAGCGTGTGCCAAATGTCGTGTATCAGATTCTTAATTCATGTACCAAGTGCAGTGTGTCAACATTGTTTTCCAAGTGCATCTCATAAGAAACGTCGTGTCGAGTGTCGTATTGATAGAAAAAGGGGGAAAAAAAGAGAAAGGAAAAGGGCCGTCAAGAAGCATCATCCTTGACGCGAACTGACCTTTTCGCGAAGTCGGTATCGTCGAGGTGGTCATGCATGCGAGGACGATAGCGGGGACGTAGGTGCTCGGCTCCAAGAACTCGTCGTCGAGGTAGCTGTCGTAACGGCTGCGGGTGGGGGAGGGGGAGATAGGTAGGTGGGGGGTGGGGGATAGAGTGAAGATGGGTTGGGATGGAGGCAGGTAGGTGGGGGGTGGGGGATAGGGTGGGTGTGTGGGAAGACAGGTAGGTAGGGGGTGGGGGAGGGGGAGACAGGTAGGTAAGGGGGCAGGGATAGAGTGAGGGATGGTTTGGGGTAGAGGCAGGTAGGTAGGGGGTGGGGAGGGGGGACAGGTAGGTAAGGGGGCAGGGATAGGGTGGGGTGTGGGAAGACAGGTAGGTAGGGGGTGGGGGAGGGGAGACAGGTAGGTAAGGGGCAGGGATAGAGTGAGGGATGGGTTTGGGTAGAGGCAGGTAGGTAGGGGGTGGGGGAGGGAGACCGGTAGGTGGGGGTGGGGATAGAGTGAGAGATGGGTTGGGATGGAGGCAGGTAGGTAAGGGGGCAGGGATAGGGTGGGGGTGTGGGAAGACAGGTAGGTAGGGGTGTGGGAGGGGGAGACCGGTAGGTAAGGGGGCAGGGATAGAGTGGGGGATGGGTTGGGGTAGAGGCAGGTAGGTAGGGGGTGGGGGATAGGGTGGGTGTGTGGAAAGACAGGTAGGTAGGGGGTGGGAGATGGGGTGGGGTGTGGAGGATAGGGAGGGGATGGAGTGTGGGGATGGGGTGGGGATGGGGAGGGGGCAGGTAGGAAGGGGGTTAGTGATGGGGGTGTGGATGTAGATGGGAGTGATGGTGGGGATGAGGGAGGTGGGGATGGAGGTGGGGGTGTGTTGTGGGAGTTATGGTGTGGTTGAAATGATGATGGAGATAGTGGGTGGAGGATAGGAGAAAGTGGTTGGGCAAAGAGAGAGAGAGAGAGAGAGAGAGAGAGAGAGAGAGAGAGAGAGAGAGAGAGAAGAGAGAGAGAGAGAGAGGAGAGAGAGGAGAGAGAGAGAGAGAGAGCGAGCGAAGGAAGGGAGTATTGTAGTTAATGGAAGGCGAGGGGAGAGAGAGGGGAGGGGAGACAATAGGATATTGGAGAGAGGAGAAGGAGGGGTGAAGAGATAATTACCATATAGTAATCTTCTTTTCCGGTGATCAGGTGCGGTAATTAATTGCTGATTAGCTTTGGCAGATTTGATTAATCAGACTACCCACCTCTTATCTCTATGAATCAAAAAAACTGTACTTAGTTTGTATATTTCATATTTTTCATAAGAATGAAGAAGAAAGCATATTATAAAACTACTTAGGACTATGTAAAACGATTCTAGAAAACAATAACAGTTGAAAAGAGAGATAAGTGAGTGAGTGTGAGGAGAGAGAGAGAGAGAGAGAGAGAGAGAGAGAGAGAGAGAGAGAGAGAGAGAGGAGAGAGAGAGAGAGAGAGAGAGAGAGAGAGAGAGAGAGAGAGGGGGGGGAAGATATGTAGAGAGAGAGAGAGAGAGAAAGGGAGAGAAAGAGAGAGCGCAAATGAAATACAGATAGAAAGAGAACCAGAGACGGAGAGAGCGCTTGCCCCATCCTTCCAAGGGACATCCCACTCACCTCATCCTTGGAGGCGGGACGTAACCCCTCCATAGCCCCGCCGTAGCCCCCTCCATAGCCCCCGCCGTAGCCCCCTCCGTAGCCGTAGTCATAGTCGTAGTAGGGACCCATGCTGCGGGAGCCATACGTGGGGGTGGGGGCCCATGGGAGGGTAGCCCTGGAAAACGAGCGGGGAGATTAGGTCACGGGACTGGCTGGCGGCGACCTCGGTTCCCGTCGGTGGGGGAGGAGGCCGCGGAAGCACTGGTTGAGGATCTGACTGCTTGTGAAGTTTTTTTTCTAATCCTTTTGTTATTGTTTTACTGTTTCTTTTTCTTTTGTGATTCATTAGTGCTTAATTCGGTACGTTGAATATATGGCAAAACAAGTCGATAGAATTCTGATTGCGAAGAGAAGGAGATAATATTGACAAATAAAAAAAATAAAGATGCAAACTAACGTTAAGAGTCAACTGAAGAAAAAATACAAAGGTTAGTGACAAATGAATAAAATCAAATAGATAAAAGCAAACACATTTACTTTAAACTGTAACGAAAAGTAATAATAAGCACAACCAAAAATCGAAAATAATATGCAGCAGAAAATAAAAAATCTGCTAAAACAAAAAGGAAAAATGAGATAGAACAAGGGTTGAAAATGTCTGAAAAGCACTGAAAAAGGCTTTTTAAATGTCCCTTTGGAATCAAAGGGAAGGCCATGCATGCCAAGCAATGTATTTTAACCAACCGCATGCGATCGAAGCTGATCATGCCTTAACAGAAGTCCGAGAATGGATCTAAATATCACTTAGGACATCACCGTTTTCTTTAATGGTGTTAATAAGTGTTACGCCTTATATCTCCACAACGATAAGTTCTATCTACAACAATATGAAGCGTTTGTTCGCAAAGCAGCACCAACTAGTGTGACTACAAGGCGTTTAGTTGTGCAACCGACGCATATCGCTGTACGCTGTGGCATCATGATACACTGTCACACATTCCTCATTCCTACATTCTATTATTGTCCTTAAGATACATCTAATTTCTTTACTAATGTCTGAAGAGTCTTAACCTATCGCTTGAAAAAAATTTCCCCTAAATCTGTCTCTTTTCCTGCCCTTTGAAGTTCCCTTCTACAGGCCTAGCAAATCACAAGGATAAACTTTCTATACAATTCAAGCACCATGTCCGTCACCCCTTACCTATTTTGCATCCTCTAAGACCCAAATAAACCAAATCGATTAACTGAACTACAAGCATTCAGCCAGATGCACTCATAACGTATAACGAGTTGCTCTTAAAGACCCCTGTTCAGCACATGCACACTGCTCTTTAAGGGCCTTCTTGAGCACATGCTTCCCTTGCCACGGCGTGACTAGCGACTGCGAAGGCTTACCCCGCTATCTTTGTCCATCCTCCTTAGTATCATCCTAGTTGATAGTGGATGGAGATGGAGAGTACTTTCTGGTGGTTCCTGAACCAAAGATGAACCAAGATGAGAGTGAGATGAAGGAAATGAAGAAAAAAGAAGAAAGTACGTTTGAGCAATGGTTTTCCACATGAAGAAGAAAAAAACATTGAACATAGTCAAAGCATCAGTGACAAGTAACTATATTCTCTTAAATGACAAATGTTTTATTCAGGTTAGTGATACAAGCTCCCCTTCAGCCTTTACGCTCTGGCACGTCCTCGACACTAAAAATACACCAAGAGCCCCACGCGACCATCAGCCATAGTCGTGTTCCAATACTGTTTGTTTGTCTTGATTCTAAAACCGATGCAATTATGAAGTCAAAACGCTTCTTCGAGAAAAGGAAGATGGAGATTCAGAGCAGAGCGGAAACCCTAAGAGATTCATATTTGCAGAAACTGAAGTTGCCGATCCCACGAGGACTCTGGCGCCACCGTCGTTTATAAATGGACATCGAGAGGAGCTTGTATTTCTCCTTTAAGGCGTTCATGAACTCGTTATCACAGGCCAGAAGAAATGGCAATTGGAAAACACAGGCACTTTTCGCCTTCTGTGCTTCCTGACACAGATGCCTCGTCTGCCATGAGATTTTATTATTTGCAATTAAAGAGCATGCAAATCATTTCTTTTTAGTCGGCATCGTCACGAAAGAGGATGATGAATGAAAAAGGCGCCCATTCAAAACAAGGATGAGTGATTTAGATGGAAAGATTAATTAGATGAAATAGGTGAATAAGCTGAATTAGACCAGCGTTTACATGTCTTGCAAATCACTGCATACGCCTCTTGAGTGAACCCATATTCATTAGTAGGAAACGATGAATTCGGGCAACCAATGAAGAAAATAAGATGAGTAAGAAGATAAGCATTTGCACTGCTATTTGTTCCAGAAGATGTAAGTTAACTGAAGCATGAAAACACGTGACCGAATGCTTAGTAACCTGTACCGGTGTGCTTTCTCATTGAATTAGCATAACAGAGCATTGCAATGAATCAGCTTAAGCCACAAAGACAAGGAGATAAAGCGACTTACGCAAACGGCTTCAGGTATTGGCTTTGTTGAAATGAAATGATCAATGGCTTCTTTGCCTAAGCCAGGCGAAGATATTATGGATTAGATATTTGAAAGCTTTTGTTTAGTGTTTTTGTAAGCTGATGTAGGCATGTGTGGATGTTTTTGTTGTTTTTGTTGCGGAACATAAAAAGTACAACCAGCAAGTAATGTAGCATAGATAAGAAACACTAATAGCATCAGGTCAAGAAGAAAAAAAAGAAAAATCAAGAAAAAAACAGCTTTACGTAAAGAAATAATAAAACCGATATGTATAATAAACATAAACACAACGACGCCGATAACAGAAACTCAAACAATCGCAAGCGAAAAAAATGCGTGAAAATGAAAAAATGGCGAAATAAAAATATAGTCGGGAACATAACGCAAATATGACTCATCGCTAAAAGGAAAGAGAAAGAAGAGAGAGAGAGAGAGAGAGAGAGAGAGAGAGAGGAGAGAGAGAGAGAGAGAGAGAGAGAGAGAGAGAGAGAGACAGACAGACAGACAGACAGACAGAGCGAAAGGAGGGAGAGATAGAGAGAGAGAGAGAGAGAGAAAGTGAGAGAAAGAGAGAGAAGAGAGAGAGAGAGAGAGAGAGAGAGAGAGAGAGAGAGAGAGAGAGAGAGAGAGAGAGAGAGAGAGAGAGAGAGAGAGAGAGGGAGGGAGAGAGAGGAGAGAGAGAGAAGAGGAGAGAGAGAGAGAGAGAGAGAGAAGAGAGAGAGAGAGAGAGAGAGAAGAGAGAGAGAGAGAGAGGGGGGGGGGAGAGAGAGAGAGAAGAGAAGCAGAAAATGAAAGAAAAGAAGAGCATACGAAATCGGCCCCTAGATTCTTGGACGCGTCTTCGCCGTCATCTCAGTCGAGGGGAGCCTTACCTGAGCAAAGTCGTCGGCCTCAAAGCCACTCGGTTAAGGACGAGCTGGGTCGTGGCAGGGGTCTGTAGGAGGTCGTCCTTATAGGGGAGACGCTACGGCGGGTCTCCGTGATCTCCGAGGTCTCCAAAGGGGTGTAGGAGGAGGTGCTGTACGACGAGTATAGGGCGAGTACGACTCCTAATGTAAACAAACATGGCGGGAGAAAAAAGGGAAAAGGGTCAGCTCTCTGAAACACAGGTTAAAGGGATCATTTATGTAAAGAGGATGGGATTCTTTTTCTTTTATAAGAGATATCAGGTACATGCAATATATAATTGATATCCTTTTGCAATCTGATCTACCACTGTGACACACATAACATTATGATTTCTAGGGACTGTAAACAACCCTGACCTTTGTCAGAAACAAAATACAGGGGGAAAGTAAACAACAAGGATGGTAAACGGAGAAAGAAGTTAACGTATATTTCACATAAAATTCTAATGCCCAGGCAACTGAAATTGGCATTTGCGTAAATTCCTAAACGGTGTATCGCAGAATAAATAAAAGAAATAACTTGATGAACAAGCAGAAGGGCCAGAGAGCGAGGCATTTCAGATAGAATTATTGCTCGCGAATACAACACGCAAAATAAATTGCAAAGTAAAAGAATATAGAAAAAGAAAATGAAGTCGTTAAACTACGACTTGTTTGACATTTCAGATTTCGCTTTCGTGAGTTCGGTCGCGTCAATCACCAATCTGTTTACTTTTCGTATATCCTGCGTTGCTCATTAAATATCCGATAAATGGGTGTAAATATACAGTGTGGTATGTAAATATTTGTGCATTATTTTGGCTTAATGAATGGGACTTCTGATCACGAAGCGTAACGAGCTGATTTAATTAGAAATAGCGAGGTGATTTAATTAGAATTGGAACAAAACATTTTGGAAGCTTCATTAATTTCCTGTTACTGTGTTGTTCATCGTGGTATGTGCATACATTGAGGGGAAAATAGTGTATACAATATTTTGGTGCATTTAACCATGAATGCAGAATTTCCATGATATTTATTTCATTCGCCGTCTCTCTCTCTCTCTCTCTCTCTCTCTCTCTCTCTCTCTCTCTCTCTCTCTCTCTCTCTCTCTCTCTCTCTCTCTCTCTCTCCTTCATGCTTTCTTGGATATTCTTTCACTTTTCTCTCCCTCCCTTGTTGTCTTTCCCTTTCTCGAGGTCTCCGTCTCTGTAACTTTACCTCTTCCCTTCGTTCACCTTTACATCATCCCTTCCCCTTCCCCTCTCTCCCTTTCACAACTTCCCTCGTGGTTACGTTGCCAAGAGCCAAATATAGCAAAGCACATTACACCAGACGTCCAAAAAAAAAGAAGAAACAAAAAAAAGAAACGAAAAGAAAAAAAAACGCGATGTAATTGTAATTTCAGCCTTGAACACGCGATTTTTTTTTTTTTTTTTTTTTTGCTGGACTTTCCTGTCAAGGACATGATCATATTTCACATTAGTCACAAAATTTGGATCAAACCTTCGTATTAATAGTAACATGAAGTATAATTTTGGTGTGGATATGAAAGAAAAGAAAAAGAAAAGAAAAAAAAAACGAAATCTGGAGGACCAAACAGCAAACTGGGGTACAAGCAAACGCAGAGGGGTGAGGGGGGGGGGTACTTTTTTCAATTATCATTATCATTTAATTTTTTTGCCTTTTCCATTACTTTTATTCTCCTTCGTTTTTTAGGAAGCGGCCTAGAGTGATGCAAAAAAAAAAAAAAGGAGAAAAAAA